TCCTATGCGCTGAAGGCGCCGGGTGCAAAACACGAAACACAGTTGGGGCGCTTTTCTTTTTGCGTGGTGCTGTTGGTTTGCTTGCTTGCTTGCTTTCTTGCTTGTTTGCTTGCTTGCTTGCTTGCTTGCATGTTAGTTTCTTTGTTTGTTTGTTTTTGTTTGTTTGTTTGTTGGTTTGTTTGTTTGTTTTTGTTTGTTTTTGTTTGTTTGTTTTTGTTTGTTTGTTTGTTTGTTTGTTTGTTTGTTTGTTTGTTTGTTGGTTTGCTATTTTTGTTCGCTTACTTGCTTGCTTGCGCTTTCTTGCTTGCTTACTTACTTGCCAAGTCGGTTCGTCAGGTGGTCAGTTAGTCACTTTTTAGTCAGAACGTCAGCGAGCCAGTTAGTCAGATATTTGTTGGTGAGTCAGTGAGTTCAGTCAGTCAGTCAGTCAGTCAGTCAGTCAGTCAGTCAGTCAGTCAGTCAGTCAGTCAGTCAGTCAGTCAGTCAGACAGTCAGTCAGTCAGTCAGTCAGTCAGTCAGTCAGTCAGTCAGTCAGTCAAACAGCCAGTCGTACTCAGTTTTTTGGATCATTGCTTCTGGCATCTTTCTCAAAATATATGCCCTGACTCCGCTAGCGTGGGAAGAAAAGTTTGGGAGGAAAGCGCTCTTTCCTTCCAACAGGACAACCTGCCAAGCTCCATTCCTGCAGCATCATTCGTAACTTGGATTATGGTATCCCAAAGGAGCAACACTGGATCGTGAATGTTGTCATCTTGCCCCCAAGACACAGATGTTCGTGGACTGCTGTGGACTGCTGTGAAAGCTCCCACCAGGCCTCAAATATGCTTGGCGGTTGCTGTCCTTTTGGTTTCCCTTCAAACAGCTGCAACACCTAAAAGCGTCCAACACAACCCGCATACACAAAATACACGAAAATAACGATAAACCGCCAGCCAACCAAGTAACTGGCTGACGAACTAGTTGATGAGGTAGGCTGATCATTCTGAGGTCGCCCAAATGTTATCGGCCATGCAGATGGTTGCGGGGAATTTCCTGACCAGACCAGAGATATAAGCGACTATCCCACGGGGTTCTAACCCTAAATTGATTTCAATGCTCGGCCTTCCACCAAATGAGCAGCGAGATACATCCAATACAGGAGCGCAATTCCAGAAGGGCTTGCATCCCTGCAGGGGTTTGATGGAAAGTTTGTTGATCATTTAAAACTCTCATCTTCTTCATGTTTGTTCAAAAGGACGGGGACAGATCCCCAAACATAGGACCGCCAGAAAGGATTGGTTTCATGCTGGCTACTTTGCGAGCCCGACGGGGTCCAACTTATTTTGAGCACCGCCCGCCTGGTTAGTTTCCTCAGACGGGGTTCCCCATTTTTCCCGTTTTTGGTCGCTTCAGGCACCACCTTGAATGCCAGTTTTGAATGCGTGGCCTGTCTCCCCAGAAAGATCGAACCAGGGTTGGCCACCCCCTTGTTTCAGCGCGTTTAAAGCACTATTGTTCAAGCAACCTCCTTTTGGTGTCACCCCTAAGCAAACGGCATTTCGGGTAGGTTGTTTAAACACATTTTGCAACCAATCCGTCGAAGCCGCCGTATCCTCTGCTTATATTTGCAGGCCCAGTGGAACCAGTTACCACGTTACCACCATAGAAGGGAACACATTTTACCTCTAAGTCTTGCTGTTGGTTTCACCCCAGTTGGCATTTGCTTGCTTGTCAGCGGGAATTGAGAGAGCAACCCCTATGGCCTATGACCCAGCAAGTCCCCTTCCGGCTCTCATTCCCAAGACCCAAAACTTCGGCTGATTCCTTGCTGAGAACCAGCAAGTGTTGCCCCTCATAGAGGGGGGAGTTTTTTTCGACCATATTTTTTGGGGGCCGTGAGCACCAGCCAGTTGAGGCGGGCTCGCACCTGGTGGGCAAGGCCTGGAGCCGCTTCTCGGGGCACGACAAGGGCGCGCTGGTGCCTCGGCTCCGACTGGGGCCTTCCCGCCGCTTTTGCGGGAAGACGCCCACGTTTTTTTTTCTTGTTCTTTTTCTCCGGGATCTCTAAAGTTGAAGTTGATCATTTTCAAGGTGGATGATCTGAGTCCGAACGTATATTGTTTTGAGTTGGAGGTAAAAGCTGAGATTGCTCGGATCTTGGATCCGCACCTGAGTGATATATCCGATTCGAAGTGAGAAAAACAAGGCGAGAAATGCGTGCAGAGCCCTCAATGTCGACCCCAGCCTGTTTCAGACTCTTCCAAAGGTCAAAGATCCCTTTCTTTACTAGGACATCCCCTCAGTAGAGAAGCTGGGGTGCTGCTCAATCCTAGGTTGCCATAATCCTAGGTTGCCACGACTCACGCAACGCAAGGGTGAAGAACAACATGGCATTTCACTCACTTTTGGAAAAACCCTTGAAGGGCGGGGAAACCGCCAGGGGTAGGTTTGTCACGTCGGGAAAACACACGTGCATGGAAAAACACAAGCCCATCATGCCCCGTTCTGATTCTGAAACAGTGCCAACTGGGATGGCAGCTCGGAGGCGTACGGCAGCTGACGTTGTCCGCCCGCCTGTGAGGCAGCCAGGCAGCCGAAAAGGCGCGCTGAGACTGAGGTCTGTTTTCCCTTCCCAAAGTACGCGTTAATTGGGGATGGTCCCAACCCAAACCTCATGCGGGGTCAAAAAGCAGTGGCCGGCATCCCTTCAGACCTTGCATGGCAAGGGTTTCAGCAGACCTCAACTGCGCTGTGAGTTGCGTTTCGCGATCTTGGGCCACAGACACGGCCACTTCCTGGCGCGCAGTCACCAAAGGCCTCCAAAACTGGGAAGCCGCTCTAGCGATCGACCAGCAGTTTATTCAAGTAGAGCTTCGATCATGATCACCAGCACCATTACTGTCGTTGTCGTCAGCAGCATCATCACCACCACCACCACCACCACCACCATCAGCAGCAGCACCACCAGCAGCAGCAGCACCACCACCACCACCACCACCACCACCACCACCACCACCACCACCACCACCACCACCACCACCACCAGCAGCACCAGCAGCACCACCACCACCACCAGCAGCACCAGTATCAGCACCAGCACCAGCACCAGCACCAGCACCAGCACCAGCACCATCACCATCACCATCACCATCACCATCACCATCACCATCACCATCACCATCACCATCATCATCATCATCCTCATCATCATCGACTTGACCATCACATTCATCACAGTATTAATCAACGCAATAATTTGCAGTTGAAGAGGAAGAAAAGGGGCTGCACCACATTGCTATTGATGATTGATGGGCAGTCTTCTTCCTTAATGGTCAAGATCGAGAGTCATACATTTGAGTCCCAAAGATGGGGGCCTTTCTTGATGGTCTTCACAACATAACCCTTGGGTGAATGACCCCCCAAAGCTTGCTGATGTTTACACCCCTCTCCTCCAAAACGACTATATACCTTACAAAGAAGGTTAGCAACAAGAAAGCCACTGGATATGATGATCAAGGGCTATGCACTTCCACTCCTGGAGACAACACGTGCCATAGCAGTTCAGTGCAGTTGTTGGTTCCTTCGCATGCTGGCTGTTCGAAACGTGAAATTCATGTGCTGGCTACGGGACAGTTCCAACAATAAGCAGGTGCGGCAAGATGCCTTTTGACGAGTCGATTTGCGTGGTTTCGGGTAGACTCACCTGCTACCGGGTTTTGATTATGTCAACCCGGATTAAGCAACCTGGATGAATAGGGGTTTTCTACCCCAAAGTGAAGGGTGCGTCCCAAAATTGGGGGACACCGCCCAATCAAAAAGCAGGTGTTTATCGAACCTTGGTTGCCATAATGTGGCCGAGATCACGAGCTCCGCTTGTACATAGAAGCACCCCAGTCGTCAAGTCGCAAAAAGCCTCGCGCCCTCTGCTGCTCGACACTGTAGATAAAGTGACTTGGATTGACCTTGTTTCACCAATTTCTTGAGATCCACAGCTATTCCTGGCTTGGTTTTGGTTTGCGTTGATCTATTGCTTCTGCTGATGCCTTCTTGATCTGATTTGGCACTTCAGCCAGGGCTGCGGTTGGAGTTGCCAACATTGGCATTCCGTGCTCGGTCGCTTCTGTTCATTTGTTTTTGAGTTGCTATGTTGCTTGGTTGCATGCATTTCAGTACTTGTTTTTTTTTGTTACTCTGCCTAGTCTGCTAGTGCTCCTTTGTGTCAGCTCTATCCGTTGGACTTGCGTGCCGGCCGTGGTTTGTTGCTTTTGGGATGCTTTAACCTTTGCCGAAAAACCATGTAGCATCCCAACAAACGCGGAACCTGAAAGAGGGTACTTGTTGGAGGAAGATGGCCTTCCAGGGGGCCCTTTCAAGTTCCATGTTTGTTTTTGGAAGGGTACATAATGCTCCATCAAGCTTAGTTTGCAGGCAGGGGCTGTTTATGTATTATCTCTGAAGCTAATGCAAAGCAATGAGCGCCCCCCCCCCCCCCGGCCATTTTGAGAGGGGCGATCTTGTTTTGGAGGGTTGCCAACAAAGAAATCACGCGAAAGTTCTGCAAGGTTACCACGGACGATCATGGACCCTTCAGGGTTTCAGGCAATCATAAGGATTTCTGTATTTCCATGTCCCAAACCAACAGTCGACTGCTAGTAGTACAGCTCCTCGTGTGGGTGTTTCGGAAATCCCTTCCAAATGACTTCTCGTTTTCCTTTGGTCTCAATCCAAACAAGGGCTTCCTTGCAGCGCAGACAGATCCAACACGGTCCCCCCTTTTAGGGATTTTGAGCGGTCCCAACTTTGGTTGACTTGTGAACCCCTTTGCGGCTTAGACCCCCAGCTGTGCTCAAGCAGTCCGAATAGCCCTTCAAACAGACGGTTGCCAAAATGATACATTGCGGCCAAGTTGACAGTCACATTGACCAGGTGATTTGGAGGCTCCCCTTGCGAATCAGGTGGAGTTGCGTGTATCCGTTGGGGACCCTTGCTGAAAGAGACTAAGACTCGGCCAAGTTTCCAAGGCGTGGGCAAGCTTCTGAAGCACTACGACCTGCTCTCGGCGCGCTGGGGTTGCTGGGGTGCTTTGGTGGTGGGGGTGGGTGGGGAATCGGGCGGGGGGGGTGGGGGGGCCGGGGCTTGCGAACAAGCTCGGGTTTTGCAGGGCATTGGGCTTGTTTAAGGCTAAATGCGCTCAAAAAGAAACTATGAGACAGAAGCACATATGGGAGTTTCTCAAAATGGTAAACCCCCTTTTGGTTGGTATTCAGTGGGAAAGCAAAAGGACACTGGCCTTTTTAGGGGACCGCTATTTTGAGACCTCCCTATGTGGAACAAGCAGATAGGACCCTTAAAGGTGAAGGATTCTTTTGGAGGTATGGCCACGTGTATTCCCCAAGCCCGATTTGGCAACAAGACGAGCCCGACATGTTTGTTCGTGTTTGACATCATCCTGACATCTCCCAAAGAAGAGCCGGATGGGGTCATCAAGTGCGAGGGTCCTTTCTTGAGGCGTGCGTGATTCTATCGACCTCTGATTGCAAGGGTCACTTTATTTCCCCGTTTTGGTATTCTTAGACTTTAAGTTTTAAGCATCACAGTTGGCCAATTGAAGGTGAGTTTTGTTTTGCGCCAAAGTGAAGGATTTCTGAAGTTGGGGCAACGTCAAGCAGGATCAACCAGGACTTCTGCTCAATCTGGGGTCAACGTTATGCGACCATGCGACTGGACAGTTGCATTGATTTCAGACTCAGCTGGGTCTTTGTTGATAGAAGGGTGAACAGGCACAACTACCCTTTTCTCCCACTAACATGGCACCTGGAAGATCAGCTCCCTCTTCAATGGACCCCTGTTAGGTGCCACGGTAGTGGGAGGGAGGGCAGAGATCAACATCATTAAACTGCTTGGGACGAATGTCAATTTGTGCCAAACGGAACATGTTGCTTGGACTTGGGCTTTTGCTGCTGAAGTCAGAACTCGGCAAAACATGCAACGTCAGCAGCCCGGTGCTAGTATGAGCGTCGCATAATAGGCACGTGATTCAACGGTCCTAAAGCACGTTTGGCTTGCTGATTCTACCTCATCTATGCCGTGTGCCACTTCCAATGCTGCCTTAGACATCTTCTGCTTGTGAGCCCAAATCACTGCGCTGCTTTTAGGTAGGAGGCTAGGGATCATTCCCAACCGGAAATATAGAGGTGACTTTTGACCTCCGGTCTCGGGCATCTTTTGTGGTACTTGAGGAGTTGTGGTCACTCCGCGATGTTTGACGAGGGCCCACAGGCGTACAGGGTTGCTCCAAATCTATATAACCATGACCAAACCGCTTTGGTAGTAGATGGGTGGGTGGGTGGGGGGTGGGGGGGTTTTTGTTTGTGCGTATTTGTTTTTGAGGGCACCCTTTTCGGGTAGGTTTAAACGGAGGGGGTCCCCTGTTTCGACACACACCCAGATTGGTATTGGATCGTTCGGTTTTTCCTTTTCCAGTGGCACCGAATTTCTTCTGTTGCAAACGGGTCGAATGGCGTGTGCCTCAAGCCAGGTTCGCGCCTGCGACCAAGAGGGCGAGTGCCTCTTCACCTTCCGAATCCAGCGGCTTCGGTGGCAAGTTTTGCCCGGGTGCGGAGATGTCGGAATGTCTACCTGGCATTCTTTGCAAAACAAAACATGAACCCACAAAGACACATCCAGATGTAGAGATATCTCCATTTGGGGGACCCAAGAATTGGATGCCGGGTTAAACCTACATCCCTTATGTTGGTTTGAGGGAGATTGCTCGTAAGGTCTCCCTTTTCTTCCGTTTTCTTTCAAGTTTGTTTTTGAGATAATTTCTGGTGGTATGTGCCTGGTTTTGTGGGAATTTCAGCAAATAGAAGTCTACAACACGTAAACCAAGCAGCAGGATTTTCCGACGTGGCCAATCGACGGCATGATGACCGCCCCTACCAACTCCAAATAAAGGGTTCTTGCGACCAGGGCACATGCGGGTATGGGGAGACCATCTTGGCGACCCCGAAAAACGAACAGGGGGCACGCCGGCGTCCTCACAATGTCAAAAGAATGGCTCGTTTTGGTGAGAAAGGTCGAGCATTTCGACCAAATGCAGGAGGGTAATTAGCAAGGGTGTGCTTGGTCCCCTTAGTGTAACAGGTAGGAGTTGTGGCCGTGGCACAAACGGTTTTGTTCATTTGAATATGTTTCAGTGCATAATTGGAGAGCCGCTTTTCGCCGACCTTTCGTTGTGGGCCTGTGACTCAGGTTCTCAAAAATACATTTTGCAGGTGATTGCCCTCCGAACCACCATTTAGGAAGAAGATGAAGGATGGCACTTTAATGAACCTGGCTTGAACATCCTGACACATTCGACTATGGTAGCTTACATAAGTGGGATGAATTCCCCCCTTCCTTCCTCGTCCCAAACAGTACAGCCTTTGACTACAGGCCCCGATTATTTGATTTGGCGCTGCTCAGTAATGCTGCATTTCTTGGTTCAGTGAAGGCAGGGGTTGCAATCTCACTTGAATTTGCCCGGCTTACATTTCCCGGGCTGTTGGCTGACACTGAATTCATCTGAATTCGGAACTTAAATGGCTAAATGTATTTTGCCAACTGAATCCGCATTGCATTTGCTTCATTGCCGTCTAAGCGTTCTATTCCGGGTCGGTCATGTCAGCCGTCGCCATGGGACGTCAAAACGCGCTTTTCCAGGGCACCCAACAATATGTTTGTAGGGTCAGCGTGCCCTTTTGTAGGATTGCAACTTGTTAAACAAAGTCATCTTGCTGACCCCGATTTCACGGCAAAGTAGTGGGCCAATGAGAAAAATTGGTTTCAGCTGCGTCCGCGCCTTCTCCAGGCTGTTTCGTGCTTTGATATTCTGGGCTCGCCGAGCAGTCGTTTCGGGTGGTGTTGAGTGATGATCAGGCGGTTTTTGAACTGAATGGGCTATCCCTTTTGTTACCGTAGCAACTTGTAGCTCCTTGACTTGCTTGCAGCAGCTCCTATGACGGGACCTCGCCGGTGTTGTCACTCATCACCTGCCGCTTCGGCATGGAAGCAGGCCTTGGAGTTCTTGTTGAAAGACTAACGTGCAGGTGTGCGCACAGAATGCTTTTCGGGGGCGCTTTTCAGGTTTGTTGAAAGGGGGCCAAAAGGAAAGCTGCCAATCAACAGGGCCCATTTGAACACAGACCAATGCGTTTCCTGTGAAAGCCGAGGGACGGCTGGATCCATGTTTGCCGGGCCCTCGGACGAGAGACAGCATGGGGCATGCCCCTGATTTGTTTGGGGTTGTTTTTGAGGGAAACACCATGAGCACCTCAAAAACGAACACTCGCGGACTTGGGTTCCGACGCTGCGGACACCCTGGACACCCCCGATTTTCTTGAAGATGGTCAGCGAAGGCGAGGACCAGCAAGGACACGAGCCCTTTTTGGAGCGGTTGTTTTGAAACGAATCAAACAGAAAGCCCAGACGGGTGTGTTCTGACATTTTGGACACCCGCCTGGCCATGAATGGTGGGGTTGTTTCTGGTGTAGGAAGCATCCAGCTGTGCCTCCTCTCCATGGGGTTGAGACTGTCGAGTTGGGTCTCGGAGCTTCCTGACAGCACGCTGGACATTCACAAATGGGTACTGGGTATGTTTCAACACAACCCCACTTTTTGAGATGGTGTGAAAGGGAAATCAGACATTAATAAGAACCCAAGCCTGAGATCCTGGGCAAATTACAACGAGCTTACCAATCGGCACAAAGAGCCCCATGATGAATGTTCCTTACTTGGGGTTCCTCATTGCCGGTTTGCGAGTCCGAGTAGTTTGGCCAGATTGTTGGGTTGCTCGAATGCCCCCCGGCAGATTTAGCATGAACTCCCAGAAAGCGCATGGACAAAATCTATTTCGTGCTAGTTGGGATTTGAACCCCTATGAATACTGGGATGGGCCATCTAACTGGTACGTTTCGTGGATTTCGCCCATCCATCCACTGCAGCAGTCGCTCAGAGAGATCAGGATTTTGGGACTTGTGAGTGTGTGTGTGTGTGTGTGTGTGCGCCCTCCCACAAGGGGCCTACGCCATCTGGGGAAGGCTGGGGTGGGGCATTGATTTAAACACTGGACCCGATGAAATGCCATCGGATTTGTTTGGGCAAAGCGGAACTAGTTCCCCTGCCCCGCTGGAACCTACCTCCAAAAGATTCAGTTTGACAGCTGGAGGCAACTCAAAGCCTATCTGGGCCTATTGACCCCGACTGCGATCAAAGCTGGGGAAGGGGCAGGGAGGCCCGATGCCCTGTGTTTGTGAGGCTTTCATTTGATGGATCAGCAGCTTGCTTGGCCCAGAGCTCAGCACAAAACGGAGCGAATCCGGTGCGTTTCCGGGCTTTGGGGCTGGTTGCAAATGCGGTAAGAACTCCCCTTCCTGCAAACAACCTCTTTGAAGGAAAGAAATCTGGAGGGAATCCAACGGGTTTTGGATTTCGTGTTTCGCTGGCCAATGCTCAGTTGCTTTTTCCCCGCTGGGGGAGGGGTGCTGCTCGATCCCCCGTCGACATGCCCATTTTGGGGGCTCCCTCAAAACAACATTCTGAAAATCACGGTCACATGTTTTTTGTTTTCTGTTTTGCGCAGTTCTCAATATGTCAGTCCCATATAAGCAGTAACCTCTTGGAATGACGGTGTGTTTGGGTTTTATGTCATTTTTGCAAGTTTTTGACGCTCTGATGACTTTGCTTGCTGGCTAAGTGGTCAAGTGGGTTCGACTCCCATTTAACCCTCAACTTTCTTTTGGGATGTAACATCAAGCTGGACCCTCGGACAGATTTTGATTTGAACGTAGAATTGGATCCCTTTTTATAGGAGGTTTCTACGCCCATAGAGTGCGTTCAACTTTCATTTTCCGAAAAGCGGGGGCCAAAGGTACAACTGCTCCCGGGCACCCTTGCTATTTACGCAGAACCATGAGTCTATTTGCCCATCCCTATCGAGCACTAGCGCGCTCTCTGGGGATTAAATCGGGTTTTGGTGTTGCTATCAAAGGCGGCCCCGCTTTGAACCCCACCAAAGTAGTCCAACATGGCAACATGGGTTCAGATGGACTTATCCATTCACTCTGTTTACGTGTAGTTTCTAAGGAACTTTGTCGTATCTGCAGAACAACCAGCCTTTCTTCGTGGATCTGGGCCTGACTGTTGGCTGAACATGCTTGGACTGTGGGAACTTCCTCCCGCGCATGGCTGGTCCGAGGCCCAGCGAGGGCAAGCGCAAGGCGCGGCCGCTGGTCTTCGGCGCGGCGGCCCGGGGGATTCCGTGGGGTCCCCTTTGGAGGCGTAGCAAGGTGTGGTCATCCCCGGGTCCCTGAATGGAACTGGAGGAGGGGAGACTTCGACTGGAGATCTCCATTTATGGCGACCCATTTTGTCGTGGGAAGACTGCATAAATGGAATTGGGGATCCCTCACCAGGGGGATGTGTGGTTCTTTTGGTTCATCACCCTTTGGTCAGCAGGGATCAGCCATGGCTTGTTGTAAGAAGCCATCCTGTTGCAGGGCCTCCAGAACTTTCCAAAGGTTGATCCCCCAAAGTTCCACGGGCCTTCTCGGATCCTGGGACTGCTCAGAACTCAGAAACCACACTTGCATTTTGGCTTTGCTGACGGGCTTGGGAAGTTTGCAGAGAAACCAATCGCCTGTTTACTCCGTTTTTTGGGGGCGTAGGAGTTGGTGTGAACTTTTACGCTCAGCGCGACTCGTGTTTGCCTCAAGGCCCCCTCCAAAGGCCATGTCCCTTGTCTCCTTGCGGGTTCCACTCCCTCCAAGCGCAGCGCCCCCCAAACCCCGAGCCTCCGAGGCGACGGCATCAGGCTGAACTTGGAGATCCAGATCTCTCTGCTCCTCATGGGCCGGTGCCCCCAGCGCCTCAGGGGTTGACCTGTCAAACCTCTTTGAACTTGTTGTTGTTTTTTTTGGCCCATGAACCCAAAAAATGGAGGTCAAAGAAGTGGGTTGGGGTTTGAGAAACACGGTTTCCTCTGGTTTCCGCCATTCTGGACACGGGGGTCCGACAGGACGGGGTAAATCTTTCTCCGCTTGTGGAAGGATCCAACCTTGCACGTTCATTCCGCAATTTCCGACTTGATGCACCCTGTCCCGGGTTGGGCCTTGGTAACCCTGATTTGAAGGGGTGTTCTTTCGAAGCGCTGCGAGATCCTGACGCGAACTAGGGCTGGCATTGGATATGCCATTGAGCTAGAGGGCAAGATTGAGCTCACCCATTGAAAGCACTTCCCCTTCTTCAGACCTCAAGGCTCTTACTGATTCCCGAAGCAGAAAACTTCACCTGGCTTTCAGATAGACTCTGGCCTGGGCCTTTCCTTTTCAACTTTAAAATACCATGCAGGTGAAAGGATTTGAGCGCTGCTCTTGCCACTTGTTCCTCTGGCAAGAGTTTTGTTTGGAGCCCCTTCCAGTTGCCAAGGTGACAAACATGGCGAGTCAATGCCAACTAGAGTTTCTACACGCCAGCTTGCATCTGAACTCGCGCATACTCTTTGGGGAGCCGTACTTCTAGCTTTTTCCAGCCTTCATTCAAGATACGCGTATGATTGTCACCCAAGCCCAAGCGGTTACTTTTCCAGAGAACTTCGGGCATGTTAGCCTATTGAGAAGGGCAAATCAAGTTCTGGGTTCTCATCTACAAAAGGTGCAGATCATTCCATTGCATTCCCGTGTCTTTCCAAAATAAGAGGCACATGGGCTGCTTGTCGCTTGTCACGAGGAATTTCCAAGTTGAAGTGACCATTTGCCGTCAAAGGGGCCACTTCGAGGGGTTGAGTCATACCCAGGTGAAACATGGCAGCCTGGAAGCCACCCGCCTTGTGAAGGGAAGTCATGTCATGTTCCCTTGGCCTTCCATGCTCAACTTGCTCGCTGGTTCCCGGGCATCCGGTTCTTTAGGCTTTCGCTCAGTTGGTTTAGTGGTTGGGCTTCCACTATTGAACCCACTAAAGGTTAGTCAGTTTTAGCAGGGGGATCTGAGGACAGCCCATGTTCGCAGGGTCTTTGGTGGATCCTTTCCCGGACTTTGAAGCCTCCAACTTCCAGATTTCCAATCGAAGCTGGCGCCGGGAACCTGCTCCTTCGGGGCAAATAGATCACTGGCCGGAGGATTCAAAACGGATTGCGTCTTTGTGGCCCTTGCAGGTTTTGGTCAGCGAATTCTTTTCACCAAACAACCAAAGAGGGCCAAGGTCAGGTTGGCACAACAACGTCTGCCCGACCATCTCGGTTCCTTCTCTGACGGTTGATTGAACAACTGTTTGTTTTCCCTTTCAAGGGCCCTCTGTTTTTGGGCCTTGTAAATTAGTCGTTTGGTCCATAAACGGTTCCCTCTTGTTGTGGTGGTGGTCAAACGAAGCAACCAGGAAAACCACCATGAAATGTTTTTTTGGGGTTCCCCCAAAACACATTGACTTCCAGTGAGCTTCCAGGTCTCAGCTTGCCTGCGGTGGCGCTGCCCAAGCTCTTCCTCCAGCTGGACGTGGGGCGCCCGGCGCAGGAAGCCCTCGGGGGTTTTCTCGCAGGGGGACGTCCGTTTGGATGCTGTACATCTGGGTCTCACCCCAAGTTATCTCCTAATCGCCCCCTCCACTAAAAAAAAGCTTACCCACTACGCCCCACAACAAAATCACGGCGAACAACCAGTCCTCCCCTTCTCCAATATAAGTTGACATGTGATGCGTGTGTTGAGCGTCAGGTGGGGTAAGCCGGCGGATGTTCTGGGCAAATGATGTCACCTGTCAGTCGACATGTCAGTCGATGAATCATTGGTCAGGGTCGCGGGTCGCATATTGAAAGACGCATGTCGACTCAGGTGAAAGCTGGCCGAATCGAGGCCACGTGCCAGCAGGCAGGCGAGGAGGCTGGGGTTTTCGGACGTGGCTTTGTCCTTAACTTTTGACGAAACCGCGAGCTTGGTGTGGTTGTCTCTGATTTCCCCTTTCTCACAAGCCCATTCTTTAATGCTTTGGAACACTTTGTCTTTTAAACAGCGGAATAATTGAGTATTGATACGTCACCTACCCATCTGCCGCCTGGCTTTACAACATGATCCAAATAGGCCGGGGTTGCCTGGTTTGCCACAGTGAGCAAGTGAGCAAGACAACCCTTTTACTTATTTACTGGCTCCTACTGTAAAGCTTTTTATTTTAATGACTTGATACACCCCTGGATGAAGGTCCCTTACTTGGAGAAATTGTGCCTGGTTTGTGAAGACATGATGAGTAAATAGGTGCTCTGACTCCATCCTGCAGTCTGGTCATAAAGGTACTAGTTCACTGGCTGTTGTCCTTCTTGAAGATCCTACAGTTTTCTTTTTTCAGGCAACCGGTTGTGCTTGCAAGAGAGGCCAAGCTTAACGAGAACTTTGTGCTCAAGTTCGATGGAGATATCATAGCTGTCCTCAGGTACATCTTTTGAGGGCGACGATTCTGCACTCAGCATGCAGCGTCGATTTGCGCAAGTATGCAGACATCATTGAGCAGCGATGGCTGAAGCTTGGATTGCACATGAAGCTCGTCTTCGGGAGGGAGACAGCAACCTTCACCGGTTACAACTTCCTTGCCGACGCGTTTGGGCTACGATTCACGTACGTTCCAGAGCCACAACGGAGCAGCGCCAAGTGGAGCTGTTCTTTTGCATTGCCCACTGACTACTCTACGAGTAACTTCCCATTGATTGCTCTATGCTGAGCTTTCCCGTTCTTTCCATGCACATTTCTTTCCAGAAAGCTAGCAGTTGTGTTGAAAGCCCGGAGGAACAGAGGGGAGAGAGGAAAAGGAATCAGCACCTAGAATACCGGGAGGTCGGCAAGATACATGTGAGAAGGTGAAGGGCTCTTTGATAGCATTGTGGACCGCATGTAGATCCACAATGAAGCGATCTGTTCAGTTTCCTAGCGAGCTTTAGTCGGCAGTTTTTGTTCTTCTTCTTTCTTTTAAACCATTTTGATCAAGGCCCAGAAAGCTTTGTTGTTTGGCTACTCAACCCCATTGTACTCTGCCTATTTATTGGCGAGTTCACTTCGAGGAGGAAGGACGAGCTCACTGATGAGTGAAGGTAGTTTGCCCAGATTTAAACATCACCACATAGCCTTTTGGCAATGCCAAGAGGAGCTTCCTTATAGAAAGGCTATGTTTACAGGTTTCATGTACATGCATATTGGCACGCAAACACATACACACACACACCCACACCCACACACACGCATATATATATATATATATGTATGTATACACATAAACAACTAGGTACTGAGCCCCAAACGAAAGCGAGCGACACCGCAATGCATTTTTGACCTTTCGGGAGAACGGCCGTTTGCCAGGTGACTAGTAGAACATTTGATTTGTTCCCAGGGGTCCTGAGACATAGACTAAACACCAGCCAAAGGTATGGACCCATAGGCCTCAGGTCAGTTTGGTCGAAGAGTTTGTTGCATTCCACAGGTATTGGTTTTGTTCATCGTTCTCCGATGCTGACGGGAAGATTGGTTTGTAGTGGGACTGGTCTCCCATCTCGCTTGCGCATTACCGTATCTTGGCTCGGTACCAAGGGTAAGCAGAGACCCTGGCGGCCGCAACACTATGACCTTTGTTTGAACCCCAGCTTATGTCGGCCGCAGCCTTGCTCGTTTCCGATGCTGTCCCATGGGTATGAGAAGCGCGTTTGTGTTTGGGAAGGTCTACGGCTGGAAGCATCTCGGAACGAGAGCCAGATGCTCCCAGGAGATGTTTGCCTTCTCAACACAAAACACAACAACTTGTAGAAATCAAATGTATTTTGCAGGATTTTCCAAATTCCAGGAGACCTGGTCAAGTCAATCAGGAGTACAGGAGCGATACTACGCTGCGGATTTACAGATGCCAACCATCATTTGCTAGCTGGGCCCAGCTGCGCATTCCAAGGAGTGTCACTGGAGTCTCCTTCTGACCCCTTTAAACATGGGGTGGCCCAAGACAAAGGAGTGGCCCCATATTCGTAGGGTCAGAAGGTGTGAGTTTTACTGTTGGAAGCATTGGAGCTGCAAAACTAGATTCCTGTAAGCGGCCCTCCTGTTTGAAAATGGGGTCATGGCCCAAAAGAAAGGAGTGGCCCCATCTTGAAAGGGTCAGAAGGAGACTGGTGGCTCCAGGGGTTGCATCTGTCAAAATCCGGGAATCCAAGGGATGCTGTTCAACGTTCGTCCCCGTTTGGTCATATTTGCAACGCAAGTGTAAACAAAAACCCTGGCAAACTGGAGGGAAATGCCGATTGCTTCCAATGTTTCGCTTGATTGGGCCCTCGCGCCCTTGCGCAGGGCGCGTCTGTGGAGGTTCGGCCAGAAGAAGACTGGACTTCACAGGTGGGCAATGGGTCAACTGTGGGTCAAGTTTCTGGGCACAAAAGGGCTGGGTTTTGACCGACACCCATATTTAAAGGCCTCAACGACCATGTCAGTAGAGCTTTTTTTGGGCGCTCCTATGACCAGACCAAAAGGCTAGAATCGTGTGTCCGAATGTTTGGCCCTGACGAACGGGTCAAATGGGAACAGCCCTCATGGAGATATTAGGTCAACCCAGGGTGTATGTTCAACCTCAAAGTGTTAGGAATCCGACCCCCTGGTACCCTACTAACTTTGCATCTACCAGAACCCAAAGGTTACATGGCAACGTGGCCGGAAGGGTCGCCTCTTGGCTACCAGGTTTCCACACCCAGCAAACTGCGCGCAGGTTATGTCCCCCTAAACCCACCAAACAAGTTGAGCACTCAGCAACTTGCCTTGCAGCCTTGAGAGAATGAACGTTCATGAAGGGCATTCCCCCCCCCCCCAAGCATTTTTTTGAGGATTGCCGAATCGACGAATATGGCCATGACATTGACATTTAGTAGGGCACCACCTCAACAGTGGTTGGACACAAGCCCCCACCCAAATGATGTCCAACCCCATGAAGATTCACACCCATAAACATGGGGCGGGCGGAGGGACCTTATTAAGCCCTTAATAAGGCCTCATTAAGGGCTTAACGAGGTCCCTCCCCCCCCCCCCCTTCCCCCCCTCCCCCCCCTCCTCCCTCCCCCCCCTCCCTCCTCATGACATATCCATGGAGTGGGGATTCTTGAAGCGAGGTGATGTCCAGCATCTCGAGCGCAGCGTGGTCGGCGGCTGAAAGCGCCGCGCCAGGGGGCCCGGAAGTCCGGTAGACCGAAACTGGATGGGCCCCATGCAAAAGGGCCTCTGTGTGTTTGAGGGGAATTGGCTTTAAATGGACAATAAAGGGAACCTACCCATTTTGACACATGCACAAATTGGCGCAGAGCCGAAACACAGGGGCCTTTTCAAGGAGATTCCTGTGAAAATGCGAGCATTTCATGGAGGGGGTTTTTAGGTTCATCTGCAGGTGTTCTTGTTTTGCAGCACATTGGTGTGCTAGATAACACTTTAAGCGAAACACACCCAACAAATGATTGAAACATGGGTAGACCTCTCTGCCCCAATATATCAAGTGAGGGGGACCTCCCCGAAAATGGTTCCTTTTGGCTTTCCTTTCAAAACAAGCCCGACAGGGATGTCACGCCCCACAATCCGAAATGGGCACAAATGGATGAATGGATGAAAGTAGAGGTTGTGCCAACCTCTTCACTTAGAACAAAATAAGGGGAACAGTGCCATCTACTTTTACCCTGTACCAAGGGATGGGGGGGGTTGGAAATCGTGTCCTGAGGAACATGGCCTACGACTTCCCGCTCCTGAAGCGTGGGCGGCTGAGAAGAATCTTCTGTCTGTTTTTTTTTTTTGGGGGGGGGTTCCTCCAAGCCGATTCCCGTATTTCAGGGTGGACTAATATGAAACAGAATCTGTACATGAATACATATATATATATACACATGTACATATATATATACACATGTACATAGATATATATATATATATATATATGTATCAGTAAGGGACGTTGTGAGCGGTGTGCTTTTGCACCGACTTATGTTTGTAGGGTGTAAAGCCAACACGAAATAAGCTCAGGTGATATCCCCAACAGCACCCGCATGGGTGCTGCAGATGCGGAAGGCCCGCAGGCACACCCCTCGCAAGAGTTCGGTCCTATTCAGCCTTTGTGCAAACCCTCGCGGAACTCTCCTTGGAACCTCGGAACCGCCCTGGAGCCCTTGCGGAACCACGCGTTCCAATCCTGAAACACTGTATGAGCAACATCATTGCTGAAAAGGACCCCCCTCTCTCACACATACACATATGAAAATATATACATATGTCTGTGTGCCCTGGATGTGGGCCAAGATATGTGCCATAGTCAAAAGACCAGCTCACTTGGTTGATAGGGATTGTCATGGACATCTTAGGGGTTTTAAGCATCAAAAGGCTTATGGCCCACACAAGAAGTTCTGACCATGGCACATATGGGGCTAAACAAGTAGAACAATCGTAGACTCCTATATTCCTGACAAAAAATAGTGTATTTTGCCCGTGCGAATCGTGCCACATGAATTTTTCGAGTTCCGTATATAGTAAATTGCTTGTTATGTGATTCATTTGTGTACCCCGAAATCAAAGGGTCCCCAATTCAAACTCAATCCGTGGGTTTGATTCTCGAAGGGTCCTTTGGATGGATGGAAACGAGGGAGAGGACGGGATGGACAAAAGGATGGAGGGAGGCAGGGATGGGTTGGTGAGTGGGTGGACGGATGGATGGATCTTCAATATGCTGGAGCCCATTTCTGAGCAATCCAAATATAAAGTGCGACATGGGCCTAAAGAGGATTCCGGGTTCCGCCAGGTTTGCAAAGTAAAAGGGCCGAAAACGGACTCCTTGAGCATTTATTATCATGGGACCCCGCCAAATGAGGCGCCGGCAGGCCATGTTTCTCACGGGATTTGGTGGGTTCCTTCTGAAGTCGGTGGATACTTGGAGCATTTGAACCGACTCACCGAGCCCCGAGGCTTGTTCAAGGAGAGATTCCGCTTCGCCCTGAGCTTTGATCGCGGGGAAGGCGGGAGCCGCGAAAAGCGGTTTAGGTGTGTTCAGTGGGAGGAAGCGTTTGCCTGCCGGAAGTGCTTGGTTTGTTTGCTCGTTCGCTTTGTTTTGTTTGTTTTTTTTGCTTGCCTGTTTGGTTGTCCGTCCGTCTGGCCGTTTGTCCGTGCGTCTGTTTGCTTGGCCGGCTGTCCGCTTCTTTGTCCGAGTACACGTCTTTGGTAAACAAGATGTTTCAGAATCCTTTTGCTCATGTTCTCTTCAGTTGCCATACCTGTGTGCTAGATGGCCTGTCTCATGCTTGATATCCTCTGGGGGAAATAGCAGACAACTTGGAATCCGCTTGCAGAGGACCAAGATCTAATGGGGTCTTATTCAGTTCATTCCTTCTAGAATATGTTTGCTTCCCACTAACTGGAGTCGACCCTAAAAGGCCGCTAACAAACGGCCAGTCATGTATGTAGTGCCAGTCATGTGTGTAGCAACTGAAAAGAACCCATTTGTTAGAACCCATTTGAGAGTATCTGAATCCTTATAAAGCAGGTGGTTCTGCATGCATCCTTCTTAAGAATCTAAGACACCATCTACAGGATTGCCTACCCCCCCCCTGTTTGGGTGGGATTTGGCCAACTTCTTATTCCTGTATATGGTTTTCATGAAAGAAGCATTGTTTTTCAAGGGCTCGCGGACTGCACTTCGCTGCCCTCGCTGGGAAACCCGACTCGGACGCCGCGACTCGCAGGCGAGGCGGCGCGGTTGCGCACCGCGCTGGAGCTGGTCAGGGGGCCGAATGGGAAGCGGGTTTGGGTGCTTCTTGATAGGGTCCATGTTTGTTCTTCCGTGTGAGCTTAGTCCTTAGTTAGACTTCTAAAACTGCTGGTGTTGGGGTTCCATGGCAATCAGCAGAGGTGTGATCGTCGGAAAAATGTGTGTTTTTCCGGCTCAGTGCCGTTCTTACCTTGGTTCAAAAATAACCACGAGCGCATACTCGAAATCGTTTTTTTGGGGTTCAGCCTAGTTTGACACATTCAAATGCTTACAAAGTAGATGGCACAATTCCCTGAACATGAGGAAAGAACATGACAAAACATAAATGGGGGAGGGTTGTGCAGTCCATCTACCCTCGCCCAGCTGTAATCCACTCGTGTTTTCCTCTGAAGCCATAGGATGCCTTTCAACCGTTCGGTTGAGACGCGTTGTTGGAGCGACTGGGTCTTTTTCGTGGTGCAGTGCCTTCTGTTTTTTTTTTTGGTTGGCTCTTCTGTTAGGGTTGCTCCGAGCCTTTAAACGATCAGGACGGAAGGGTAGAACCTGTCGTCCTTTGGTTTCCACGGGGTGACGCCTTTCTACCCTTCTGCGGATCGGGTCTTCGGAGCAGTATTTAGGATGGAAACTTGGTTCGATTTCCTTTGGTTTCCTTTGCTTACCTTTCACAGGTTACCGATTTCGATGCTGAGAGCAAGGTGGGTATATAGCCAAGAAGGGTAGAAACTTGGTTCAGTTTCCTTGGACCACATGTCTACCCGCTTGGCCATCTGGGCGAATCGGATCACTCCGACCCACGGGACTTCCTTTATTTCTCAGGCCGAGCATGGTTCTCTGGCCCCTCTCAAACGTTCCGTCTCAAGGGTGGACAAATTGCCTCTGGCAAAACATCTTTGGCCCCAGTTCTCCCCTTGGGACGCCCAGCAAGGTGGCTTAAACCCCCCGGTGTGTTTTTTTTTTTGGGGGGGTTTTCCTCTTTCTTTTTTTTCCCTCCCCCGTGTTCTTAGCGACTCCGTTGCCGTGGACTTCCTGAGTCTGCTCGGAACCTATTTACGGTAGGCTAAACATGAAGCATATTCTCAGCATATTGCTTGGATGTGGGTCAATAATTTGATAAAAGACAATTTGAATGCAGCGATGCCCTCCACTTGAAGGGAGGGGCTACGAATAACAATGGATCTCTGCAAGATTGCCAAGGCTTTCTTCTTGGAACAAGGCATTCATGTGACAGAATCCCTACAGCAAACCGTATTGCAAAAGGCCGGGTATGAAACAAATGGCAGTCACCCAACACGCAGCGCTTCCCAAGTTGAAAGAGTGAAGGAGAGTGAGTGAGCGATTGAAGGGTGGAGGGTGAGAAGAGGGGAAGGGTTGAACAAAAAGGTTTGGAGGTTTGTTGGAGTGACTGACCTTTCAACGCCGATGTCTGAAACGCCCCATCGGCGTGGCCGTCCGTTTTTCCCGTTGTGGACCAGGCCATTCCGAAGAGCTCGGCGGCGGAGGTTGTCACGTGTGGAGCCTGGACTCAGGAGGCCATCAAAATTTTAGGGACCAGAAATGGTGGACATCAGTTTGCCCTCCTTCCAACCACCATGGACTTGGACAGAGGGGCTATTTTGTCTTCCAAAACCCTCCTCTCAGCTTTCTTGATTGTTGGAGGGAGGGCAGGTGGGGATTCATGTCCACCAACCACTCCGAGGTGGTTCCAACTCTTACAATGCATGGCCACTTTGGTCAAACGAAAGACCTCGCTGGGGCTTACAGGGGCCACTCGCCCGAACGCCAATCAGCTGATCCTGTTTCAAGAGACAGAATGCATTTTGTCGGCCCTCTCGGGTAGCTGCGACCACTATGAGTTCTTGTAGAAAGAGCTAGATGATGTGATGGCTTTCGACCATGCCAATAGAGAGCCCCTTTTTCCCGGCCTTCTTTTCAGGAAGAGATCTTTACCCACAAAATAAAGGGGACGATGCGTGTGTCTTTGTTGAGGGCGCCATTTGTGGCCTGACAGAAGCTGCGACAGGCTTGGTTGATCATTGCCACCGCCTGGAGCGCGAGGAGCTGCGTGCCGCCCGCGCTCGAGTGGACAAACTGGAAATCGGAGAGTTTGGGGACCTGCCAGTTTTCAGCCTCCTGGATGCGAAGTGGACTTGGAGCCTCGATGTGCCTCGGAGAAGGACTTGGCCGGAATTTCCCCCCCGCACAATGACGGCCTTGTCGCCGGTCATCGAAGTCGAGGCACCTTCAGCGATTGAGGCTGATGTCATAGCGACTAGACCACAGCAGGGGGGAAGCAGGGTGTTTTGCTTGGAGTGCCGGTGTTGGTGGGGATGTTATTTTATCATGACAAATGCTACACAACACTGTGTTTTACAGCCTTTTCTGGCCAAAACAGTGCTGAGAACTGGGTAAAAGCGCGTTTTGGGGGAATGCATCTGGCATGTTGACACATTCATTGACACATCCTTTGATTGAAGAAGTAGGATTGAAGATTGGAAGGACAACTTTTCCAATCTTACTTCCTCAATCCGAGGATGTGTCGTGGCATGTGGTGACGCATTAGTGCATTTTGATACTTCCCCCCTCTGTGATACCAGTCGCTCAGGATTGTCAGATCGTCAAACCGCCGCGAAATCACTCACAGTTGGTACATGTGTGATCTGAGTCAGAAAATCCCAAGCCAAGGCTGTTTCTTTTGCATTGTTCCCAAACAAAACGGAACGCCTTTTCGGGCTGTTCAGCTGCGAAAACACACATTTGAAAGCCATTGGGTGACAGCAGCTCTGAACGCAGCCCCACCCTGAAGTACACGGGGCCCTCCTGAAATCCATAATTTTGAAACCCAACGCTTGGCCGCTGTGTCTTTGGCTGCCCCATGCCCAACGTTGTTGTTTGCCAATCTATGTCCTTGGCAAATTCCTACTCTGTTCTGGGATGCTCGTGAAATCCTAAGATCGATGCTTAGTGGGACCTGACACCTCACCCGTTGAAGACATGCGGGTTCTAATAACCAGGCTCTGATCGCTTGCACCAAAGGACAAACGTGCGTGCGTGCTAGAACCCATTGGCTAGAAGCCTGGGTCACCCAATTAGAGACCCGTTGTGGTTCCCTCCTTCGCCCCGGCATCTTCCAAAAAGTCTCAGCAGGCGAGCGCCACCAAAACCCTCCTCCCACTGGCTTGCACCAATTTCGGAGACTAGCCTCTTGTTCATTTGGGGAGGACAAGAAGGGGGACCCATTGGATGAATCGGACTGGATACTTGCATTTGCTTAAGTTTGTGTATGATTTTGACCCGTGGGTTTTAAAGGGAACCTTCCACTACTGGACATATTTTTTACTTTTTCCAGGGAGCTTAAGCAAATGGAAGGATTGGAGATCGCACCGTTTTCAAGGGAAACCAATGGGTAAATCACATTTGTGGGGCTCAACCCCATTCGTCACCAGGTGCAAGGGACCCACCCTGGGATTTTGGCTTGAGGCAGTGCCTGAAGCAGTTCCTCACTGAGCAGCTGAAGAAGGCCCAAGGGGCCAGCTGTGCATCGAGGGGTCTGGGGGTCGGCTTGTCGGCATCGAGCGGATCCAACCCTTCGGTTTTTCCGGCCGTTTTGGCTGAACACCCTTTCGGCCCAACTTTCGGCCTTTCCTGTTTTGGCCACCAGGGGCAAAGGTCCCAGGGCCGCAAAACAAATCCAGAGCCCACATTTGGAAGTCGGATGGTGGATGGCGCGAGTGAAAGGGAAACTCATGTTTAACCACCATCTTTTGCCCCAGGTGTTCGTGGTTTTCTGGAAAGGAGGATCGCTGGAAATAATGGGGAGTTGCGCTTGGAAAGCACCTGTTGTTTTGGACATGGGAACAAGCAGTTGCTGGGGGGTGCTGGGTGTTTCTGAAAATTCGGGTCCCGCCCAACGCGAACCCCTCCCTGCGGTGTTGTGATTCCTGAACTGGTTTCCAATATCCTCCCACCAACTATCATTTCCTTATGAAGCATGAAGTCATGATCTTACGAGCAACGTGCATGTAATTGCTTTCTCTCTTTACAGTATATCGCTTTCGTTGGGGAAGGTGACAATCTTGTGCACCCCGCTCGTCTGCCTCCATACTGGCAAGGATATGTCGCTAGGTTAAGCCAGTCGTTGCTGCTACTTCAGTGGACACGACGTTCGGAGAACGACGCAGCTTGCTGATTCTGGTGAAGGGGAGACTCCTTGTGACTGCCGCAAAAAGTCAACAGTTGTTTGCTCCTCCACAATCCCAACATTTTTTCACGTTTCAGGGGTTAGTCTTGGGAAAGCTTTCTATCCCTGCGGCGCCGCTAGGTTTTCATTGTAGCACAGGCATTTTCTTTTTTTGTAAATTGTGGCTTCGCTTGCCGCACTTGGACAGGTATCAAACAAGTTTCACATCGGATGAGACTTTGTGGGTTACAAGAGTGTTTTCTTTGGACGCGTCGGCCACCCTCCCGAAACAACAACATGCAATGTATTCTTCCCCAACAGCAGCTATGGGGTCACTCCCACAGGTACCTGGGCTTTTAGTCACTTGGGCTTGGACTGCAAAGCCCGTCAGATGGACGTGCTGCAGCTCTTTCGCGACTTGCTTGCTGCAATCAGCCCAAGCCTTGGGATTTGTCTTGAAACCAAAGATGTGTTTCCTAAAAGTGGAATTCGACCACTGAAACGGCAGTGGGGGGGTTGTCAAAGTCAGGGGCCCATGTTGGCATTCCCTGGCAAAAGGCGACACCAGCGGCCAAAAACGGGCAATACGTTGCAAGTTTCTCAAATGCTCGACCTGCGCATATTGGACACAGGCCTGCGTCAACAGTCGAACCTTTTTCTCTTTCTTCTCGCTTGCGTGACTCTCTCAAAGGTAATTTATTTTGATTGGGTTTCCCAGCTTTGGGCCGTAGCCCGGGGGGCAAGTGGGTGCAGTCAACAGTTGTCTCATCTTGTGCAACGCATTTAGCTTGTGATGATACTGCCAGCATGGACTTTGACACCCCAACGCCTGTGGCCAAGGGGATAGGCAAATCTGTTCCATGCAGTCTGCTCGGACCTGGCGGATGTTAAGCCGGGAGGGGGTCCGGGGCCCAGAAGGTAGGCATCTCCTTGTAAATGGGGGTTGATTCCCATTCCACGCAAAAAAAACATCACCATAGGGGACATTTGCGGAGCAATGATGTTGGAGACATATGAATCTAGGTCTTGTCTTTTCGCCCCTTGCATTTGCCCAGGTCGGTTATGTCTCCCTTATCATATTTTAGCTGGGTATCATGATCGATCGGCATGGCATTTCTTTTTGGCTTTGTGCGTGCGAGCAGCCATCTTTGGTCATCATACACATTTGCAAAGACCCACTTGGTTGACGACAGGAAAAGTAAAAGAGGCTCTAACGTCTTCCATCATTGGCAACCACTCACAGCCTCTCTTCCCAAGTTTCTGGATCTCATACTTTGCGCAAGACCATTCTAGCGGTAAACCAAACGTTCAGGTTTTTTGGGCCGCTCCGGAAGTCAGTAGCGGTAATCCGGAAGTCAGTAGCAACTCCTTTTGTTTTTCCTTTCAGGGCAGGGGCGGGGGTCATGGTGTGGAAGTTCAACGCAATCGGGCAACCCCTTTGCCTCGGCGGCTTCCCGAGGCAAGGATTTGACGGACCTGGCCTTGCCAGCGGAGGGGCTTGGGGCGTGGAGTCGGGCTTGGGATTGTCATCCTGCATGGATAGCTTTGCTTTGGGGGCTGAAGCGAGCAGAGGGGCACGAGTTGTTGTTATTATCAAACATGGATCGCTGTATTCGGGTTGGTGCAACATGGTTTGCGTTCCTGGTCGTCATGCCCAGAGACGACATGTTGGCAGACTGAAGTTGGCCCTCCGCCCATCCCGCACAAATCCCAGAGGTAGCTGATTCAGGGGTGAAACAACTATTTCCACATGGGTTTCAATCATCACAAATTTGGGGCCAGCTTAAAGTGGATGTTTTGCTTTTGGTGGGGTGTCATTGTTGTTGCCCTGTAACTACCAAGTGTTCCTACTTGTGCGAGAGAAGCACCTGGATTTGTTGTCCGTGGCTCATTTGCCTCCGTAGTTTCTGCATGGAAGGAAATCCTCTATGTCAACCATAGCGATTTGGTGCGATTGGTTCCCTGTTGCCAAGTTGAACTCAACTCATAGCAAATGACAGGGCTTTCGACTTGCTCAGTAATGCAGACCCCTAGACAAACAGAACCCGAGGGACTTTTCCTCCAGCAGTAAATTGTCTCGAGTCAACCTTTCTGGCAAAGTTTTGACCATAGACTTCGCAGATTTGGCTCTTTCTCTCTTTCTCTCTTTCTCTCGTTCTCTCTTTCTTTCTTTCTTTCTTTCTTTCTTTCTTTCTTTCTTTCTTTCTTTTTCTTTCTTTCTTTCTTTCTTTCTTTCTTTCTTTCTTTCTTTCTTTCTTTCTTTCTCTCTTTCTCTCTTTCTCGCTTTGTCTCTTCTCTCTTTCTCTCTTTCTCTCTTTCTTTCTTTCTCTCTTTCTTTCTTTCTTTCTTTCTTTCTTTCTTTCTTTCTTTCTTTCTTTCTTTCTTTCTTTCTTTCTTTCTCTCTTTCTTTCTTTCTTTCTTTCTTTCTTTCTTTCTTTCTTTCTTTCTTTCTTTCTTTCTTTCTTTCCTTCTTTCTAACTTTCTCACTTTCTTTGTTTCTTTCTTTGTTTCTTTCTTTCTCTCTTTCTTTCTTTCTTTCTTTATTTCTTTCTTTCTTTATTTATTTTTCTCTTTCTCTCTTCTTTATTTCTTTCTGTATTTCTTTCTTTATTTCTTTTTTTCTTTCTTTCTTTCTTTCTTTCTTTCTTTCTTTCTCTCTCTCTCTCTCTTTCTCTCCTTCTCTCTTTCTTTCTTTCTTTCTTTCTTTCTTTCTTTCTTTCTTTCTTTCTTTCTTTCTTTTTTTCTTTATTTCTAACTTTCTCACTTTCTTTGTTTCTTTCTTTGTTTCTTTCTTTCTCTCTTTCTTTCTTTCTTTATTTCTTTCTTTCTTTCTTTATTTCTTTCTCTCTTTCTCTCTTTCTCTCTTTCTTTCTTTCTTTCTTTCTTTCTTTCTTTCTTTCTTTCTTTCTTTCTTTCTTTCTTTCTTTCTTTCTTTCTTTCTTTCTTTCTTTCCTTCTTTCTAACTTTCTCACTTTCTTTGTTTCTTTCTTTCTTTCTTTCTTTCTTTCTTTCTTTCTCTTTCTTTCTTTTTCTTTCTTTCTTTCTTTCTTTCTTTCTTTCTTTCTTTCTTTCTTTCTTTCTTTCTCTCTTTCTCTCTTTATTTTCTTTCTTTCTTTCTTTCTTTCTTTCTTTCTTTCTTTCTTTCTCACTTTCTTTGTTTCTTTCTTTCTTTCTTTTTTTCTTTCTCTCTCTCTCTCTCTTTCATTATTCTTCTTTCTTTTTTTCTTTGTTCGTTTTTTTTCTCTCCCTCTCTCTCTCTCTGTCTTCTCTTTCTCTCTTATTTTCTTTCTTGGTCTCTCCCTGTCTCTCTCTATGTCTTTGTTAGTTTCAGTTTCTCTATTGTGACTTGCCATACCTCTCTCTCTCTCTCGCTCTGTCTGTCTCTCTTTCTCTCTCGCTCTCTGTCTGGTTTGTTTTGCGAATCTCAAATGAGCGCTGCCAGTATTCACCGTTTTCCATCCGTTGTAACAGCACTTATTCTACACTTATCGAACTTCCAGAGAGACATGCCCCCCTTCCCCCAAGAAAGGTTTGCTGGAATCTGTCTAAGAGTCCCTTCCCTTCTAGGGTTGGCATTCCTGAAGGGCCATTGGCTTTCAATTGTGGACAACATCCACTTCGCATTAGATAGGTGCACTCATAGGTTCCATCTTGTGAAATGCATTTGGTCCATCAGTAGCGTTAGGGTTGGGGGTTGAAACTTCACCCAATACATGCAATCATTAGCAAAGTATCAAAGTCACACCCCAGTGTCATGCTGGAAAATGATCCAGTTTCTGCTTTCCCGTCGAACAATAAGCCCATCTAAATCCTGGGCTATCGGAAAAGAAGGTCCCGGAAAAGGGAACGCAGGGACTTGGGTTTCCGCTAGACTCAACCCAGGCATATCACCCCACCAACGAAACCTAGATTGGTTTCGCTGATTTTTGCGGAGCCCCGCCGCGCTTGTGCTCGAGCCATTTTCAATGGACCTGTATGGCTGTTTCTTAAAACTAGAATTCGACCTGTCATCATTTGGCTATGAATCCAAGGGGGGGAATGCCCTCAAAATGGTTGGTGGACATATGATGTCCACCAACGGGTCGGGGAACCATTATATTTCAGTCAAACCCATTTCTTTGCATTGGTTTCCTTTCGGTTTGCCTTCAGATACCAAAGCGGGGCCCAGTTCTGAAAGAGGTCTTTTCGCGTTCAAAGTCAGACCTCAAAGTTACCCTTTACATGGTTGCTCAAAGGAACCCCCCGCAAACAAACTGAACATCTTCACTCTAAGTTGGTTTTGAGAACCCCTGAAAGAGTGATTTTTTGACACCCTCAAAATATTGACTTTGTCCAACCCTCCGTGCAGGACGCCCGGCCGAAGAAGCAGCCTGCCGGTACGAAGCATTTCTTGTGAAAGCGGCGCGAGGGTCCCGAGCAGCAGGGTGGCGCGCTTTCCTCGTTTTTTTTGAAACGAGTTGGTAAATATTGAGACCAGAGAACCGTTACCCCCACTTGAAGCGAAGAGCTCGTTGTTGGGAATTCCGGCGTTTTTGGGTTTTTCCAGTGGAATGACAGAAGCGGAATGGCAACGTCTAGTCTTGGGACCCAGTTTTACCCGCTGAAAGCAATGGTCACAGGTTTCACCTCCTTTAGACCCAAGCATCATACATCTCAAGGGGAAAAGCTCGAAACTAAGCAGCGAAGGGGCTATGGGTAAACAAGGCGAACCTTCATTTCCTAACACCATTCAGCCTTCAGGTAAGTTCCGTCCCTGAAATACAAGTTACGTAACTATATCACACATCACTCTTCCTCCCCTCTGGTCTTTTTCGTTCCTGTGAAACAACTACCCAACCATTTCACACATTTCGATACAAGCCACATACAAGCTACTTACCGTTCGCCGTTTTGAGCTCAAGGCCCTGCGGCGTTTTAATCCCGCTGCTCGCTCGCCTCTTCCCATCTCCGCTTGCGCGCTGCTCGACATCGCCGAGCGGTTGCCGCGAGCGGGCTGCGACGGCCTCCTGAGGCGAAAGGGGGAGCAGAGGCCGCCTTCGAATGGGTTTGACGTTTATCTAGTTGGACCCGAAATGGAGATGAGACTTTGGGGATTCATGTCCACCGCTTTTGAGGTGATGCCAACTTTTAGGCAAATGAGTGTGTAAGAGTGCACCCGCGCCCGCGCCCGCTCGCGCGCGTGTGTGTGTGTGTGTGTGTGTGTGTGTGTGTGTGTGTGTGTGTGTGTGTGTGTGTCTGTGTGTGCGTGCGTGCGTGCGTGCGTGCGTGCGTGCGTGCGTGCGTGCGTGCGTGCGTGCGTGCGTGCGTGCGTGCGTGCGTGCGTGCGTGCGTGCGTGCGTGCGTGCGTGCGTGCGTGCGTGCGTGCGTGCGTGCGTGCGTGCGTGCGTGCGTGCGTGCGTGCGTGCGTGCGTGCGTGCGTGCGTGCGTGCGTGCGTGCGTGCGTGCGTGCGTGCGTGCGTGCGTGTGCGTGTGTGTGTGTGTGTGTGTGTGTGTGTGTGTGTGTGTGTGTGTGTGTGTGTGTGTGTGTGTGTGTGTGTGTGTGTGTGTGTGTGTGTGTGTGTGTGTGTGTCTGTGTCTGTGTGTGTGTGTGTGGGTGGGTGCGTGTGTGCGTGTGTGCGTGTGTGTGTGTGTGCGTGATATTACCAAGGTGGGGGTCCCCCTACTTTGATACATACCCACATGTTTCATGCAATGTTAGCCCAAGCTTTGCTGTAGTGAACCCCCCCCCCGCTCAGTGAGGCCTTATGCGGTTCTTGCCTCTCTAGAGGATCCTTGCAGTCCGAAAAGGAGGAGAATTGACGGGCTGAACATGCTGCAAGTGACCCATGGATTGTCTCCCTCCGAGTGGAGGGCTCCGCAATTTGTTTGGGTCCATGTGACACGAGCAACCGACACCATTACTCGTAGTCAGTTGTTTATTTAGAAAGGACTCGGGGGCCTACCCGCATAATGCCCTATTTGCTCACCAACAATAGGGGGCCAACCCAAATAAGACCATTTGTAGGTAATATAGTCCGCGGTTCATATCACGTTTCACCGTGAAGGGGTTTGTGCTTCGCCCCACCCTTGTGCTGCATTCCCTGCACACTCGTTGAATGCTGTAAACGTAGCTTGCACCTTTACGCATCCGCAAAGGACCCCACGCATGACCCAGATTTAGTTTGGATTGCAGTGCATGATCTCCTGGACATTGCAAGTAGGGAAGCAGGTGAACGTGTTTTGTTGGCTTTCTCGCGATTCGTGCTTGAGATTTTCCGCACCCAGTGCTTAGTTTGCTGCAGAAAGCGACTCAGGCGAGCTTCCGATTCTTCTGGCAAAGGGCCCCGTCTACCAGGAAATTGGAACCTTAGAGGGTGTTCTGATCGAAGCGTCGGGCCGCCCCCGCCGCAACCGTTTTGGCCAAGTACGGCCTCATTTGGCCGTACTTGTCGTTTTTGAGGATGCCCTTTTTGGTTGGTTGAAAGGGAAACCAACAGGACACCATCATTTTGATTGCTTCCCCTGCTTGGAGACAAACCCATTCGGAGCCTTTCCAGAAACCCTTCCGGCACGTGGCCTTGTGAGGTGATGCGTCGTGATCCCTCTCCGCCGCGACTTGGCCGGGCCGGGGGAAGTGACTGCGCGATTTGTTGTTTTTAGGCCAGGTGTCCTTTGGTGGTAGGCTTGGGTGACACTTTAGATTGCCATTGTCAATCCCTGAATTCCCGTTAGGTCTCCTTCCTTGGTTGCAAATTTGGTGTGACGCAGATGGATCATGTGATGGTGGCTGAGGGGGGAGTGGTGGCACTCGCGAAAGCTCAAGCCGTGGACAATGCATCACGAAAGCCCTCGCCCGAGTTTGGATCATTGGGAAAGCACGTGAAACAATCCTTCACGGTCGCGTTTCGAACATGTTTTGGGATTGAGTGGTGTTTCTCTTTCAGCAGCCGAAGTATTGCGAGGGAGTCACACCCTCGCAGTGCAGTGTTTGCCCAGCTCCACCGTCACGTGGGACCCAGAAATTTTTGCCAAAGGACAGCTGTGTCTTTTTTGGGGTTGTCGCGCTAAGAGCTTGACAAAGGAGAGGGTTGTCCAGGACCCCCAAAGAGGCATCGGACCCAAGAGCATTGAAAAGGAACCCAAAAAAGCCCCTACTTTGCCTTCGTTGCCATGACCCCTATTTGATTTTTTGGGAGGCCCTGTTGGGGGCCCCTTGACAACCACAGGAAAGTTTGTTTGCGTCTTGAAAGATCGTCTCTCCTGACCCCGGCTTGGCCTTGGATCCGGCACTCGGGGTGCTGCCTGATCTTTCGGTTGGCCAACTGGCACCCAGGAATGACACTTACTCCTCTTGCAGCGAAACAATGGGAACCCCGCATCAATCGACCGCTGGTTGATTAAAAGGCGGCGTCGCATTTAGTGGGGATCCGTCACCTTGTTGGTAATGTTAGATAGCGATTAGTACAAGGGGAGTCAATACAGAAAAATATATCTCAAAATTATTCACTCTCCCGAAAAGCAAACAGGGTAGGTATTACAGAAAAAAAATCGGCCCGAAATCCCGAAAATATGTTCCCTTCCAAGAATGGACTATGTTTGAGGGTGAAACGTTTGAGTCCAACGCCACGCTCCTCCCAGTCTCAGCAGCTCCCAAGACAACAAGAAGTCACCACACCACACCGCTGACCACTTACCACCATTTTGTTTTTGGGGTCCCAGTCCGAGCAGGTCCCAGACCCCCATTTTGTTTTTGGGGTTTTCTCTGTTGACCGCCCCCCCCATTCGTTTGAGGGGGGGGCCTTTACTAATCACTCTCCAACATTAACACCTAATTCCTAGTAGGATAGGTTTGTGAATCCGTGGTTCCCAATATAGCAAGATTCAGCGAGTTGTTGACCAGCAAACCAGTCTATGATTGCAAGCACAGACAACACTGGGATCTTCTTCCAAGCTATCGACCAAATATCAGACACATAAACTATATATATATATAATATGCATAGCCCAGATGTGGGCCAAGCACAGTTGCGTTGCGCATGCAGAAACAGTCAACATAAGCGAGCTCAATCCAATATCGGTTTGCCAAGTACTCAAGCAACACCATCAACCATGCCCGAGTGCGTCCTACATGTTCAGAGGCAGCGCGCGCGGAGAAATGAGGCCAATCTGATTTGGCAGTCCTGGTTTTGGTGGTTGCTATGGTGGCCACAGAGGGCGCGGTGGTTGCCGTTGTTTCGTACTGGGTCCATTGCTTTAGGGGTTGTCACAGTCGGAGCTGAGCTCCTTTTCCTTGCCCACCTGTCCCGGCGGCCAGTTTTGGTTGCACGTTCGCCGTGTTTTGCCCTGACCCCACAAGTTTCGCAAAACGGGGACCCATGAAGGGTCGATGGGGTGCTCTGAGGCCGCAGGGCGGGCATGTCAGTGTCTCCTGCCGTGTCCGGCCGCTACTGAGCGGCGAGGCGCCGTGGGGGAAGACGAATGGAAGGTCACCCTCGTGCTCATTTGTGCCATGATCAAAAGAGCGGCCCCTTGGGATTACTAGGGATGGTCAAGGAATCCGTAGCGGCGTTGGGCAAGCAGGATAAGGGTTCCTCTTGAGGGGCCACCATGGCCCACACAAAGACGAACCGTGGCTCATGTAGACAACAGTGCTCCGCTCCGGTACTGCGAGCACAAAAACAAACCGCAAGGGAGCGGACAGACCGTTGTGTTTCCTCTCCTTTTTCCCTTGTGCCACGTTGCACCATCAAACTACGCAGAGTTGACATGAGTTGTCGGCGTTGGCCTCTATGCTTGAAGACCAGCTTTCGAACTGCAAAACAGCCTTTTGTTTTTTGGGGCTTGGCAGTCACTATCTCTCATGAACAGATTCCTTAGCCAAGGTTTGACCTGTTGGTTGCCCTGCAGCTTTCAACTTTCATTGGCCGTCTCACCAGGCTCGGCTTATTTACACCGTCATTCGAGCCAGTGAGTATTCAGGCTGGTGTTTCAGGCGCATACTGCCCTTCAACCTGGTTTGTCAGACATCCACGACTTATCCAGGCTGTCTCACTTCATGGAATGAGCCCTCAACCCATGGAATGAAGCCCTATCATGTCAACCACAGGTGTCTCAAGGGCAAGCGCGGTGGTGTTTGCACATGTGACTCAGCCCGAGGCTAGGATCATCTTTCCCACGGCTATCACGCAACGTGCACGGTCCAAATTTGCCACGACCGTTTTGTACGCTGTTTGGTTGGGCAGGATGGGTAAAGGATGAGTACATGGGTGGCAACTGGATAACTCGCAGTGGCAAACACAAGTCGACTTGCTTGAGCCAAGAAGTGAGAAGGCATGTGGCAAAAACGAAATTGGACCCTCTTGCAGACTGTTTGAAAAGGCAGGAAACCAAGCATTTGGAGAGGGCCTTCAGTTACCCAGCCACATACCATTGGTCAATACAACAAACTTAGGGTTTTGCCGGGATATCCACGCAATGCTCTATTGGCAGGTTGCGGACCAAAGGATATTTGGGCCTGGCATGCTCGGAGGTTTGACCTGAAGCATGTGATCGTAGTGAGAAGGCGGGTTCCCCCGCAATTGTTGCTGGACAAAGCCAGCGCCAGCTGGCAGTTGGCTTGTCCCAGTTTTCATGGGGTGTCATCAATCCCAACTGGTGTCCATCCACAGTAGTTTGTGTTTGGGTTCTTGCAATATTCAAGGAGTGCGCGTCACGCACCTACTTTTCACCAACCTGGAGGACAAGCGCCGCCGTCCGCCACCGAAATTTGTACGCTCCACGAGCATGCATCGTTTGTTGAGAGCTTACACCATTTTTGGGGTTATACGGGAGGTCAGAATGAACCACCCATTCTGGGATTCAGAAAGCACACACCGGGAGTAAAGAAGCGCAGGTCTCAAGCGGCGTGACGCGGGCTCCCTGGGTGCTTACGGACAAGCGCCTGACTCAGATGCCGACAGGGCCCTGCTAATCTGGGTATGAGTTTCAGTGGGGAACAGCCTCAAATTGGCGGACAAACAAGTCCTAAATGATGTTCAGCAACTCCCTAATTCTTTGGTTTTCAAGAAGCCGAAGTTAAAGAAGCCGAACCGCCCATTTGGGGTTCTGAACCCCCGGCCCCCTCATGTTGGACAAACCCGTTTGATTCGTCCAGATATCCGGATAGCGTTCTGCGGCCTCTTGGGATGATTCATCAGGGTCAGTTTGTCGTTGAAGAATGGACTCTGGTCAGTCTGCACTGTGCACGACTGGATCATTTGTCCGCGGCATCCAGCTTTCCGAGCCGGTGACCCCCACTTAGCTTTCCGGCTGTGGCGAGATGGGCGGATGAGGTCTAGGAAGAGACAGGCCCCATCCCCTACCCAGAAGCTCAGCTGCCCGAAGCGAATCGACCTTTTGACCTTTGGTCCATGCTGTGAATCAACATCCTGCGGTTTCTCCCAAAATATTTGCAGGTGCAGGGTTTTATCCATGTGTAGTGGCTGGCTTTTGTCCATCCACAAAAGCTGCCTCACCTTGGTGCAAACTGGGCAAAGGGCTCCGGGTTCCTGGCTCAGCTTGCGCTTACCATGTTCGGGGGTCGAGTCCACTCGTCGATTTTGCTTTTTTTGATTTGGGGGGGGGGTTCGTTTAAGAGGAGACTCCTCTACTTTCGGGGGAAGGGGTCATTTACTAATCGTTTTATTGTGACCCCCCTGCGCGTTCTGATTATTCAGGCTCTTGCAAAAGGGGGTGGTTTCCCACCAAACCCAGGGACATCCCCCTATGAATAAACTGGGGTTGATTAATTCGGGATCCAGATTACTTACTTGCGGGTGTCGGTTTGTTTTCAGGCGCAAAATCTTTTCGGCGGTGAGTGAAGGGGAAACCAAGAAGGAAGCACCGTTTCTTTTTTGGGGTCCCCTGATTTGAGACAAACCCCTATTTCATCCTCACAAAAGGTGATCAGCTTTCATTGGCCCGCGAGGACGAGCCTTCAGGGGCAGCCCTTTGTTGCTTTGGATTGGGAGTTGAACCCATGCTTCCTGTAAAAATGGTAAACCCTGAACCACCAAACCGCCGGGCTCCAAACCAACAGCGCGCTTCCTGTAGAAATGAGAGACACCCCCTCCACCAAAGCCCGCTGGGCTCCAAGCCGAAAGGGAAGCTGCCCGCGTACCAAGCTGCCGGATGGGTTTGTTTCCGCAGGTCCATCAGCCTCAAGGAGCGGAGCTTGACGCGCGCGGACTCGGACCTCAGGGAGGACAAGTCGCCGGGCCCTCGGAAGCTCAGAGCGGGGGGTGTCTCTTAAGCTCAAAACCGGGGGGTGGGGGGGTGGGAGGTTCTGCACAAACAAGAACAACAGGTTCTTTGGGTTTCTTTTTGGTTCCCCCAAAAAGAGCAGAGTTTTCTATTTTGTATTTGTTTTCCGTTTGAAGTTCCTTTAAAGCAATCAAATTGTCCTTCGCTTTCCATTTGGTTTCCGTTTGGTTTCCGTTTGGTTTTCCTTTGCTTTCCCTTTGTTTTCCTTCTGAACAATCCAAGAAGGGTCGCACGCCTCTCAGAGATGCCCTTAAGTGGGCGAGCAGGAGCCAGGCGTTGTTGATTGTCTCACTACTCGTGGCTTCCTCTTCGGAGACCCACCTGTCTCACCGAAGGTGTCGGCAAATGAATCCCTGCCTCCTTGAGTTCCTGGACTTGAGAAGACCATTTTTCATGGCAAAGCAACATTCTCGGACTGTTTTGGCCAATCCACAGAAGGTGTGCCCTTTATATCCGTGAACCCTCAAACTCCCAGACTCTCCAAGTAGATCTGGAACGTGTTGCCGGCGGCCCACAGCTGAGCTTAACATGTTGACCCACTTTCCAAGGTCTTCATCAGTGTTGGGTTGGTGGGTGCAAGAAACACACTTGAATTTTGCGTTTTCTTAAGAGGCAACCGGGGATGGGTGGTTTGTTCAGTTAGTGCGTTTACCCCACTTCCCGAAATGCAGCCGGGCATCGACGTTGAGAAGGTCAACTAATGCTTGCAAAGGACCTTGACAAGTGGCCCTAGAATTTGCGCGTTTGCGCTTTCCCCAAGGGACTCCAGGGTCCTTGGAATGCACCAAAACAGAAAAGCAAAACCAAGAAGGGAACCATCTTCAAGTGGGCGAACCGTTTTTTTGGTGGTTTTCGAGAATGCTGGACTGCCGTGCATCATGTTGATAGGTAATGGCATACCGACATGATATTGGCTCAAGAAAAATAAGCTGCCGCCCGTGCTGACTTTTAGGTAGATCCCACCTTTCAACAGGTTATCAGCCGTATCGCTGGTACCTTGTACAGTCAGCTCTCACCCGCGCCGCAATGGCGTCAAGCGGCGACGGATGCCACCCTGCCATAGCAAGGATGAACGAAGCAGTGGCCAACGAATTGATCAAGGGTGGGCATCCGGAAGGGAAACCGCCATGCAATCCGTCACAGCGCTCCCGAAGCAGTTTTCCTGAGTCCGACCAAGGCGATGCGCTTGTGCCCATCACTTCGGTCGTCCTTCCGGAGGATTCAATGGGAAGCGGAGGGGAACCTCTCGCCGGACATCAACCTGGGCAAGAGATGCACGCGCACATGACTAAGAATGAGACTCACCTTCATCAACATCATGTGAGCGCCCCGAACATATATCAACATAGCCAGACGGTAAATGTGGTCAACACAGGTCCGAGTACGGAGGAAGTGGCTGCCTATGCTTCGGCACGCCACGACGCCATCATCAATCAGCTCCAAGCAGGCCACGTTGAGGAAAAAGGCCGACTCTATCAGGACGCGGTGAACCACATCAATGTATGCCAACAAGAGGCAATGGCGAAGGAAAGAGAGTTCAACGAGGCAAGGCAGCAGTGGGTTGCTCAACGCTCAGAAGCTGAACAGAAGTATGAACGGCTCAAATTGATTTGGGAAGTCACCCACAACAAGCAGAAGGAGGAAGCGGACAGGAACGCTGCTGAGATGAGAGAGATTATCATGAAGCAGTCGAGGGACATTGAGGCACTTCGTCATGAACTGAAATCTCGCAATGAGCAGAGTAGTTCTTCTAATGTCCCGATTTTCGGTTTGAGGCCAAAGGCCTCTCCTGTACAGACGTTTCCTCCTCCCGGCCTGGATCTTAGTTCTAAGGTACGTATCAGGTCAGCTTCCACCGAGCTCCGCCGTGATGGGCCAGGTGCCGCCGATGATCTTGACGGGGATGCCGAGGAATATGAACCGACATCTCCGGCACAGGACCCCAACGATGGTGGTGGAAATCCATCAGGCGCAGGAAATGGCCAGAGCGGAGGCGGTGGGGAACCACCTGCCGGCAATCCCGATGATGACGATGATCATGACGACGACGATGACGATGGGAATGACGATGGGAAGAAGAGCAAGAAGGACAAGAAGAAGAAGAAGGACAAAAAGAAGAAGAGCAAGAAGGACAAGAAGAAGAAGAAGAGCCACAAGAAGCGAAAGAGTGGGTCTCCTTCCGACTCTCCGAGCTCTTCATCGTCCAGCTCTTCAACATCATCATCCTCATCATCATCATCGGAGAAGGCACGAGTGATCCGCAAGAAGCTCAACAAGATCTTGGGTAAGCAGGCGAGCGCAGTGGACGCAGACCATGACAAGCCCAAGGTCAAGGAGGCGGAGAGGATTATCATTCCCTCCTTCCCACTTCCTGAGAGTTACAGGAATTGGCGCATCAAGGTGCGGGAAGCCGTATGCGCGGCATCCGATCGCCCCGATGACGCTTTCACGTGGATCAGCAGAGTGTGGGAGCCCGCCGTTACAATCGAGGAGCTCAAAGAACCCGGTACTTTCCTCACCTTGGACGCCAAGTTGCTGTCCGCCCTCACCAACATCATTCAGGGTGACCTGGCGAGACAAGTCGACACCTTCAAGGAGGTAGAGGCGCAGAAGAGGAATCCAGTTCGTGGGAGACAAGTGCTTCTCATGGTGCACGAGCACCTGAGCACGAACATCAAGCACGGAGCCACCTATGCCATGGAAGATCTCCTCAACGTGAGGCTCGTGAACGATAACCTCACTTCCTTCATGCGTAGCTGGGAGGGTGTTCTTGCAGGAATGAATGCCAAGACACCGGATGACTCCATGCTTGAGGCTCTGTTCTACAACCAGCTGAAGAAGAGCAAGCAAATGCAACACCACTTGAATGTCTATTTGAGCGCCTCGGAAGAGTCCGCCGATCACTCATACACCTACTTGATTGAATCTGTGAGGCAATACCTGTCTCGAGCAAGGCTCGAGCGCAACCGAGAACGGGTTGCTAGGCAGAACGGGGGTAGGCCAGCCGCACCCGCCGCTGAGAGCCAACGTGTGCCTAAGGGGTTTTGCATTGCATTTGTCAAGTATGGGTCGTGTCGGCGGGACAATTGCACGTACAAGCATGAACAGCCATCGGGCGATGCCAGGGGTAGGACCCCATCAAGAGACGCTAAGCCTAAGAAGGGTAAGGGTAAAGGCCGAACGAATAGCCCAAAGGGGAAGAAAGAGTGCCGTTTCTACCCCAAGGGGAGGTGTGACCGTGGTGAAAACTGCCCGTTTGCTCACATCGACCCGAAGCCGGCCGTTCCAGGGTCAAGGGAGCCATCCGCAGACAAGCAAAAGAAGCAGGGAAAGGATCGGAAGCATCGCAAATCGAGCAGGGATCGTTCCAAGTCGACCTCTCGATCCACTTCCCGTGATTCCAAGGGAGATAAGAAGAAGGGTCACAAGGGAAAGTCTTCCGGAAAGCCTTCTCCTGCTGCTGTTTGCGTGTTGGGATGCTTGTTGTCTTCCATGATGAACGCCCCTATCGCTGAGGGGAACCTCATGTCGGACTGGAAGCATGTGCCTGCCCTCCCGAGCGTGCGTTTCAGCTCGAAGGTTGAAATGAATCGGATACCAGCACATGGTGAGCAGTTTAAGATCGCGGACAAACCGCGCGTGTATTCAAAGGTCTACCCAATCGACCACAGTTTTTCCATGACGAAGTCAGCATAGATGATGCTAGACTCGGAGCAACCATGCTCGCCTTCATTGTGAGGCGTGAATTGGAAGGCCATCCGACTAGATGCAAGTACGAATGTGACAGCGAGATCGGATGCTGGCAATGCGCCCCGAGAGACATGGGCGCAAAGCCCGCCTTGGCGAGCAAGAGATTCTCTCCGAACTGTTCATGGATTATTGACACTGGGAGCGGGACTGATCTTTTTACTGGTGCGAATTGCCCCGAATATGCAATTTATAATTCAAATGACCCCGTGATGTTGATGACTGCCAATGGACCAAGTGATTCGTCAAAGCAAGCCAACATGGCCGCAGGTGACCTTGGGAACACGGATCCATACTTGTTGCCACAAACACCCTCTGTTCTCTCTGTAGGTTTGAAGTGCATGAATCAGGGTTATGACTTCATATGGTATGCGAAGGATAAGCCATTCTTTGTCAAGCCTGATGGGACGAGAATATATCTCAAAGTTCGAGATTATGTCCCGTACTACGACGTGTGGGATGGCGACTCAGCCATGGCGTGTCCCGCCAAAGGCACACCGCCAAGCCGACCGGAAGGTCAGGTCGGCAGAAGCAATGCATCGAGTGAATCGTCATACTCCTCCTCCGTGCAAGCTGAAGATGCCGCGGAAGAAGAGTATACGCCTAGCATTGCCCCTCTTGAGGATCCTGAGGTGCATGCTAGAGTTGTCGCCGAGCTTCTGGCGAATGACCCCATTGAAGTCAATCCAAATGAACTTGCTGAGCCGATAGAGAGTAAAGATTTGGCAGGGGAGGATGTTGTTGGCAATCCCGATAAGAAAAGCCCTAGATCACTTGCAGAAAATGCCCTGAGGCAGGAAGCAGCATCACGGAAGCACCTGATGACACACCAGCCAAAGAATCCATTCTGCGAAGTGTGCAAATGCGCCAAGATGACCAAGTCTCCCTCTCGCTCGCGGGGGGGATCCAGACAAGTTGATGCTCGAAAGTTTGCTGAGCACATCACAGCCGATTTCATAATCACTGCAGACGAACAGGAACTAGGCATAGACGATGAGTACTCTGCTCTTGTCATAAGTGACGTTGCCACCGGTTTCAAATATGCATACCCTTTTGCTAAAAGAAACACGGAAGCCACTGTGAAGGCGTTTCAGCATTTCACTTCCTCGTCAGACGAGGTTGGCACGTTTTATAGTGACAATGCCCCTGAGTTAATTGCTGCAGCTGAACAGATGGGCTGGAGACATGTCCTCAGTCAAGAG